TTTGTGAGGTAGAATTTCACCTTGTTCATCAGACCAGTTGATTTGGCAAGTTTGTTTGCAACACTATTAACGTGATCACGGAACGTTAACTTTTGATCTAGATGAACGCCCAGAAATTTAACTGTTTTATTTTCATAGATATCAATATTATTTATTTTAATTTTATAAGGTTCTTTGTAGTTTAAATATTGAGTTGGTCCAAAGATTATCATTTGCGTTTTAGAACTATTTAAAGTAAGTTTATTTAGTGAGAACCAAGAATTAACATGTTTAATTTCTTCTTCTGTATATTTGATGAGCATGTTAATATCTTTTCCTTTGCTGAACACATTTGTATCGTCAGCAAAACAAACATAATTAAAAAATTTCGAGGCCATCGGTAGATCGTTCACAAACACTATGAATAACAATGGTCCCAAAATGCTGCCCTGCGGAACGCCTATTTTGTTGATCAATTTACTTGAATTTTTATTGTTCCAAGTAACGAATTGATATCTTGATGAAAGGTAGCTACGAAACCAAGTCAAACTGGAGTCTCTTATACCATAGTGATGAAGTTTGTGTAATAAAATCGAATGGTCAATACAATCAAAAGCTTTTGACAGATCGAGACATATTCCAATTACATAATTTTTCTTTTCACTTGCGACTCCAATTTTTTGAATCAGTTCCAGTATTGCCATTTCAGTTGAGTGGTTTTTTCGAAAACCAAATTGATGGTTAGAAAGAATGTTATTTTTTTTCAAAAAATTTGAGCAAACGACTGTGCATCAATTTTTCAATAATCTTCGAAAAAACAGGCAACAAAGATATAGGTCGAAAGTTTTTAACCTCTGAGTTACCTCTTTCTTTTGCAATTGGAACAACTTTGGATGTCTTGAAGCACTTAGGAAAGATGCCCTTGTCAAATGATAAGTTGATTAAATATTCAAGAATTGTTGCTGTTGATTTAATTGTTGATATTACTATTTTTGTTGATATTTCATCGTAACCACTCGACGTCTTGGGTTTGAAAAGTTTTGTGGTTGAAATGATTTCAGATGATGAAACACGGTTACAAAAAAATGAATTTACTGGCCCATACATACATACATACATACATACATACATACATACATACATACATACATACATACATACATACATACATACATACATACATACATACATACATACATACATACATACATACATACATACATACATACATACATACATACATACATACATACATACATACGTACGTACATACAAACAAACAAATCCAACAAACAAACAAAGCCTAACCATGGCTTGTTCATCAAAACGGGTTCATACATACATTTTTAAACATACATACATACATACATACATACATACATACATACATACATACATACATACATACATACATACATACACACACACAAATAACCACACAAACAATACCACACACACACACACACACACACACACACACAAACACAAAAACTTCCTAATGCAAATAATGGCTACATCGTTAAAAAATGTTTTTATGTTTGTTTTTTGTTTTGAATGGAGGAAAAAAAATAAAAGATAAAAAATGGTAGGAAAGTAAATAGGATTGTTTGTTAGTATGTCTGCTGCATTCCTGAAAAGGAACCGATGTTTTGTTGTTGACGTAAGTGTTGATGTTGATGTAACTGTTGATGTAACTGTTGATGTAACTGTTGATGTAACTATTGCTGTAACTGTTGATGTAACTGTTGACGTAACTGTTAATGTAACTGTTGATGTAACTGTTGATGTAACTATTGCTGTAACTGTTGATGTAACTGTTGACGTAACTGTTGATGTAACTGTTGATGTAACTGTTGATGTAACTGTTGATGTAACTGTTGATGTAACTGTTGATGTAACTGTTAATGTAACTGTTGATGTAAATGTTGATGTAAATGTTGATGTTATTGATGATGTTGTTGATGTCATTAGCGATTTTGTTGTTGATGGTTTTTTTGTGATTTCTGTTGAAAAAACATAAAAAATTCGCCAAGTACGCAAACGTACACACGTGTGTGACGAACGTTTCCAAATATGACATAGTAAAAAGAAAAAAAAAGTTCATACCCACAAAAATATTGATCCCTTAATAAAAGCGAAACCCCATGTTATGAGTACAGGAAAAATCCATACCTTTAAATAAAATTCCAAAAACCCCCTAGACAACACGAACAGCAACAATGGAAAAAAAAATAAAAAAAAGAATAATAATAATAAATAATTTCGTTGTGAAAATAATTTTAAATGACAAGAGAAAAAAAAATTAGATGTGAAAGCTTTTGAAGCCTAAATAGAATGCACTGAGTGCCATTAAATAAATGCAATTTTTTAGGGATTCAGTGGAAAAAATATTTTTTCTTTTTCGTATTATTATTTTTATTATTCTGTTTTTAAATTTTTAATATTTTATAAATTACGATTTGAAATTATTATTTTTTTTTAATTTTCATTCATGTACCGAGCAAGAATAGAAGAAATTGGAGAGAAAACATGAAAAATGAAAAAACAAAACTTTTTTTGCCGATGTAAAAATTTTTTATTATTCTCTATCACAGGAAAAAAATATTTAATCCTATTACTACTGCAAACTACAAATAATAAGAAAAACAATAGAAAGAAAAACAAAAGAAGAAGAAGATTTGCTTCTCTTCAATTGCTTCTTCTGTGAAATGAAAGTGTTGCGAAGTGTTATTTACAAACTCTTGGAGAGAAATACATTCTATGATGAATAATGTTTGCGTCATTAAACAGAAACAACAACGAACGAACGAAAGAACGAACGAATGAACAACAAACGAACGAACTAATAAACGGATGAACAAACCAACGACTAGTGATTTCAACCTAGATAAACACCTGTTGTACAATTTTATTAACATAATAAAGCTTCAGCAGTAGACAAAATAATACTCTCCATCATATTTTCATATTTACTCATTTTACAACTTCATCATTATCATTACACACACACACACACACACACACACACACACACACACACACACACACACACACACACACACACACACACACACACACACACACACACACACACACACACACACACACAACACACACACACACATAACATACACAACACACACACACACCTACATACAAAGACATAATGAAGAAAACTAACCAACTAACCATTAGAAATATATATGTATGTATGAATGAATGAATGAATGAATATATGTGTGAATATGTATCTATACATGCATGTATACTTGTATGAATATATACATATATATATATATATATATATATATATATATATATATATATATATATATAAACTATCACTCAATAGATAAAGAAACTTTAGCATTCCAAAGATCAAGAGATGATCAAGATACATGTGTGTGTGTTTGCATGTATGTTTTTGTATGTATGTATGCATGTATGTATGAACGTGTGTACGTGTGTTTGTTTGTTGGATTTGTTTGTTTGTATGTTCGTACGTATGTATGTGTGTATGTATGTATGTATGTTAATTAATGTATGTATGTGTATGTATGTATGTATGATATTGGTATGTATATATGTTTGAATGTATGTATGTACTTCAGAACCCAACTTGAGGACAAATTAAGTAAAAAGTACAGACACAATAAGAAAGATAGGCTTAATTTATTAATCTTTTGTTTGTTTTGTATATCTGATTGTTCATTTGTCTTTCTGTTTCTCTCTTTGTCTTTATGTTTCTCGGTTTGTTTGTCCGTTTGTTTGTCTGTTTATTTATTTATTTGTGTGTTTGCATATCCTTTACTGTTTATTTTGTTTGTATGTATGTTTTTTGGTATGTTTGTTTGAATGTTCGGTTGTTTATTTGAGCATTTTATTATTACTAACTCTGAATAAATAGACAAAAATAAATGAATGATACTTTATTGAAATTTCATTATGAAACTTAATATTGCAATGCAGATCATTTAAAAAAAGATGATTTCTGAAGGGTTGTCATGTTAAAAGATTTATTTACAACACACAGTCTTACTAGCATACACACAAAACTACACACACACACACACAAAAACAAACAAGTTTATGAATAGAATGTTATTTGACCTTCACAACAAATAAATAAATAAAATAAATTGGCTTCTTTTAACAAGAACTGCAAAAAAAATAAGATAAAATATGTTACAACATGTACCTCCAAGCACTCAAATACTAAAATAAAAATGGAATATCAGTTGATTAGTGTTGTATAAATGTATTTATCTATCTACAATATAGATTCTGTAATTCCATATAGATATATATACAATTAAAAAAACTAAAGAAAAATTGAAGGACCAAGGACATAACAAAAATTTGCACAAATTCAAAAAAACATGAATAAATGACTTTTTTATCATTTATATTATAAATATTTATATGCTATAAAATAAATTTTATATAGCATATTATCATATACAAATTCCAATTTATTTTAAAATATAATATCATATTGTAGTGGTAATAGTACTGTACAGTAATACTAATAGGTAACTGGTAATATAATATAATGATCATTATAATTACAAAACGATCAATGATACGAACAATACAAACAAATATAAAACAATACAAAAAATCATAAAAATAATAGTAATAATAAGCTAACCTTTTCATTCAACACAGACGCGAAACGAACAAAACTCTCGAACAACGGGGAAAAGCCATGTTATGGAACTTTAAATTATGCTCTAACGAAAGTAAACTTAAGTCCATTTTTAAATAGTGATGCTACTGTTTCTCATCCGCCAGCCTATTCAGTTTATTCCATATAACTAGAATAGGACAGTTTTAAAATGTAGGTTTATTCTACATATGTATAGATAACCAAGTGTCTGATAACTATGGCTCACAATTTAATTTTTATAACTATTTTAATTTGGACATTTTTTTCAATCATTGAATTGTTTGAAGTTAACAAAAATGCGAGATAAAATCGAGGCAAGATTATATAAAAAACGAGACTAGTTAAAAAAATGTTATTTTCTGGCATGTTGTATAACCCTGACACTGTCTGTGCTGCTGGAACCAGGCTTGCTACCATGTACCACCACCACGAAATTGTTAATGTTTATCAGGCCCTTCTGCTCTCCAAGTTTCAATGCGTATTGAAATCTGTTGTCTATATCCTTCTCGAATGGGCTGGCTTTCGGAGCTTAAATTTATTTTTTAATTAACTAAGTTAAAAATTAATTCGTGTTTTTCTAGTTCTAGCTAAGCTAGAATACTTAATTTTAATACGTATATTTATATAATTTATGGTGGTTATGAATTAGAACTGAAATGAAATAAATATACTGAATGATAATTATAAATAACTTATCTCATGAACAAATCATTCATTCATTCGATAAATTTAAAAATCTCCTGTTAAAAATAACTAAATAGTCACCTTTATACCAGATGGGAATGACTCCTCTGAAGAGTCTGAGCTGCCTGGACGTTGTTTCATCCCTGGTGACAGCCATGATGGGGCAGCGAGGTCTGTAGCTCGATATCATCGCTGCACTCCTGTCACGCAAAAATTAATCAATTTTTTAAATTATGTTATCAATTTTAAACATGATTTAACAGAAATGTTATATAAATTATCTTAAATTTCCTGAAAATATGAACACTGGTGGACCTTCCACTGACGGTGAGGACAATAATCGCTGAAGCCATGCATTCGATGGAAGCTTCGACTGCAGATACGGCAGTTGTTCTCGGTATGTCGGTCGGTTTCGGAGTCAACATCCTTAATTCCTCAAACAACTGCCGGTGGTACAACGCACATTCAGCTTCTTTTGCTATCTGTAACGGTCATCATTAACCGGCACAATTAACATCGAATTTTCGCCAATGTAATGGCAATATCAATGATAAACTTGTCGTTTGTCTTGATTATTATATAAAATTTGAAAAAATAAAGAAATAAATAAAAAAAACTTCGAGACTAACTTTCGACTGAATCTCGATGCACAAGATCGGCCACTTTCCTTTGGCTGTTTCGGCAGAGAGCATAATGCAGTCGACACTGTCCATCACAGCGTTGGCAACATCCAGGGTCTCCGCCCTGGTAGGACGAGGGTTCTCTATCATGCTCTCCAACATCTGCAAAGTTATTTTTATAATCTAGAAAAAAAAGAGGGAGAGTGAGATTAACGACTTGAGACTAGGTTAAATATGTACCTAGTAGTAAAAATTCTACTGAAAATAAACGATTATAAATATTTTAAAATGTTTTTTTTTGAAAAATAGGATGCAGCGATTGAGTGTGACAACCTGCGTGGCACAGATGATCGGCTTGCCTGTCCGTAGAGTCCGGGCGGTGATCATCTTCTGCACCAGGAAGACTTTCTCCAGCGGGATTTCCACGCCCAGATCACCGCGGGCTATCATTATGCCGTCCGATGCCTCTAATATCTCGTTGAATCTCAAATATAAAATTAACAAAAGCTTCTTTTTATTTTTTTTTTTTTTTGAAAATGTTGCTTCAAGTTACTTCATAAGACTTCTATTATTTTACAAGTTTCATAAATTGAAATTTGTAAATTATTTATTGATAGGGCAATGCATGAAATAGGCCTAGGTAGGTACCTTTTCACGCCTTCCCGATTTTCAATTTTGGAGAATATTTTAATCTTCTTGCCCTTGTCGCCGAGTATCTGCCTGATGCTTCGGACCGCATCCCCGCTGCGAATGAAGGAGGCGAAGATGACATCCACCTGAGTAGTGGGTACGAAGGAAGATTTCTCATTTTAAATGAACGAGTGCCTTTTATTAACTAATATCAGTAAGATTTTATGATAAAAATAAGATTATTCTATCTGAAACTGTTTTTTTTTCTTTATTTTTTCTAATTGTTTATTCATTGCAATCTTTTTAGTATATTTCAATTTCACTTTTTCTTATTAGTATATTTCAATTTTGCGAAATTTTAAAACTTTTGAAACATCCTCTTACCCCATTATCCACGCCGAACAAAATGTCCTTGACGTCCTTCTCGGAGACAGCGGGCAGATCGACATCCGTCCCTGGCAAGTTGACCCCCCTGCTGTTGGAGAGCAGGCCGCCGTACTCCACCTCGCACTTCAGGTAGAAGGGACCTGGGAAAATTGTGTATTGCCCTTCAATTAAAGCAACGTACTGTGAAATCGCAAACATGTCAGAACACTTATTCGGCAAATAAAGGAACTACAAAAACAAATGATAAAAAAAACAACAGATGAACAAACTTTTAATAATTTCAATCCTATACAAATATTCCTTTACTAAACAAACAATAAACCAACCGACCAACCAACAAAAACTAACTAACCAACACACCAACCAACCAGCAAACAAACAAACCAGCCAACAGACCAACGAACCAGCAAACCGACCATCCAACTAACTAACAAGCAGACCATCTAGCTAACCCTTATCTCTAACAATGAGCGAGATAGCCCCATCATTAATGAGGATACTCTTGCCAACACTCATGACGTTGACGATGTTCTTGTAGTCCACAAAAATTGTTTTCTCATCGCAGGCTTCCTTCATAGCATCGTCAATCGTTATCGTGACTACTGAACCGGTGACTAGTTCTACCGATTCTATGGCGTTCTTAAGTGTGCGTGAGTGTGTGTGTGTGTGAGTGTGTGTGTGTGTGTGTGCGCGCGTGTGCGTGTGTGTGTAAATTATTTTAATTATTTATTTGAGTTTTTTTTTGCTATAAACATATGTCAACTCTAGATGAATGTTATCTCTATCCAATCGTACCGTTATATGATGTGCTATTTCACAACAGGTAAACTAATGTGTCTGTTGAACCTTCAAAATCCCAGTTCTGATCTCAGGTCCTTTCGTATCAAGGGCAATGCAGATAGGCAGCCAGAACCTTGAAGCCGCTGCTCTAACGTTTTCCAGCGTTTGTGTGTGGTACTGTGTGGTTGGTGGTTGTTTGGTTGGTTGATTGGTTGGTTGGTTTGTCACTTGGTTAGTTGGTAGGTTATTTTGATTTTAGTTAACTAGCGTTTGGTTGGTTAACTGAAAAAGTTATCAGTTCAGTAACATGTAGCTGATAGCTGACTGCAAAAAATATAAATAAAAAACTTCCTCAATGTTCTGTGTGTGTGTGTGTGTGTGTGTGTGTGTGTGTGTGTGTGTAAGTGTGAGTGTATGTTTGTGCATGTGTGTGTGTAACAATGATGTAAAGCATAAAATGAAAGAATGAAAGTAGTTTAAAATAAGGGGGGAACCTCCTTAGAGCCGTGTGAGAAGTTCATCCTAGCCACACTGCACCCGGCTTCAAACATCTTTTCAAGCACTTCAACTGACTGACTTGCTGGTCCTTCGTTCCGTTCAAATTATTTGTTGTGTGAATAAATTAAAAATTGATTAACGTAAAATTATATAAAATATAAAAATTAATTAATATAAAATTATTAAAAATCACTAAATAAATAAAATTTAATTAAAAGTTAATTCTCCCTCATAACAAACGCTTATACGTTGCATTTAAAATAAAACAATTAACGCTAATACATACAATTGCATCAATCAAATTGTCAAGAGATAAATCAACAAGCATAAACTGCACAATTTAACGACAATACAACATAGCAACAACAATTAAGACGACGACGACAACAAATACAATAACAACAAAAACACGCGCGCAAACAGACCAACACAAACGAACAAACAGACAAACAAACAAACAAATACAAACAGAAAGACAAACAAATACAGACAGACAGAAAGACAAACAAACAAATACAGACAGACAGAAAGACAGACAAACAAACAAGTAACTGACCGATGGTGCACACTATTCCGGTCAACCTGTACGGATATGGCATAGAATCGATGTCCAAGGAGGAAAGGGATTCCAGTTGCGTCCGTGCAAATGCCGCCGGAAGTTGATAGGGATAAATTTTTTCTACGTTCTGGATGAGAAGTGTGTGTACATGTGCATGTGTGTGTGTGTGTGTGTGTGTGTGTATGTGTGGTGTGTGTATGTGTGCGTTGTAAAAGAAAAAAGTGTAATAAAAAGAGAATAAGGTGTGTTTGCGTCGCTTGTGTGGTGTGTGTTTGTGTCTATATGAACGGGTAAGTTTGTGTAAACCATTGTATGTCTGTCTACGTATGTGTGTTTTATGTGAATGTGAGTGTACATGTGTGTGTGTGTGTGTTGTGTGGGTGTGTGTTAACTGTTAAAAAACACAAACTTTTGACAACTTGGTGGTGTTAGTTGGGAGTGCAGACGACGAACTAGGCCGCTGTCGTTGGAGAAATGGCGATAGTTTGTTTTGTTTTTTTTTGTTTTTTTTGTTATTTAGAAAAATAATGATGCTGTGTATTTTTAATTTTTTTTATCATCATCAACACCACCATCACAATCACTATCATAACCATCCTTTTCCTAATCATTATCATCATCATCATCATCATCATAATGATCATTGTCACAAACATAATCATCACTATCAGCCCACCATCATCATCATCATCATCATCACCACCACCTTCATCAATATCATCATCATAACCATACCTTCATCTCGGTACGTGCCTGCTGGGCCATCGTGGTCATTTGTGCTGCGTTGTTGCCGTGTCGTCGCCGAGATTACGAGTTAGCATACGAAGTTATTGAGGATGTATGTTATCACTGTTGTTGTTGTTGTTGTTTATTGATGTTGTTGTTAATGTTATTGCTGTTGTTGTTGTTATTGTTGTTTATTGATGCTGTTTTTAATGTTATTGTTGTTGTTTATTGATGCTGTTGTTAATGTAATTGCTGTTGTTGTTGTTTATTGATGCTGTTGTTAATGTTATTGCTGTTGTTGTTTATTGATGCTGTTGTTAATGTTATTGTTGTTTGTTGATGCTGTTGTCAATGTTATTGTTGTTTTTTACGTTCTTTCCTATTGTTTGTCTTGTTGTCATTGCACAATTACAGTTCCTTTTGACTTCATTTTCTTCAACAATAACGTGCAGATTCTAACGATGTAATGTTAGTTAGGTTATTCAATTTAAATACCTTTTTGTTGTTGTTGTTGTTGTTGATTAATTATGGTGGTAACCGATTATCATGTGTTGTTGTTCTTCTTCTTGGAATCGTAGAATGTTCGCCAAATTTGTTTATGTTGTTTTGTTGTGAACCGAATGACGTCCCAACAATAACATAAAACGTCAAGAAAGAGAATAAACATAATTTTCTACAGTCGATATTATTTTTGTTTTATTTTCAATGGTTATTTATTAAATTTTATAAATGGGATACATTGAATCATTTTAATTTAAAATTTGTTCTTCTGATTACTGGATGAAGATGAGTGTTCAGCAATTGCAAATTTAAAATATCGCTACATTACGGTGAATTTTTAAAGCATCATTCTAACACAAACATGACTTTCAATCAAATCTCACTGTTTTGAAAGCATAAGGAACAACTTTGAATAAACTACAATATTGAAGATATTGTAGTTTATACGAATGAAAAGTAAAATTAATTTAAGTTTTTCCAACATCTCTCTCTCTCTCTCTCTCTCTCTCTCTCTCTCTCTCTCTCTCTCTCTCTCTCTCTCAATACATTCCTTGAAGCTTGGGCATGGACTTGACTTCATTAGAATCAGCGTCAGATGGAAACATTGGATCAGTGTTAGCGTCCAGCAAGAGTTGGGTCAATATTTTCTTTCGACCCACCAATTCACTCCTGGTTTGACTGACACTGGATGTTTCGGCTGAAGTATGGGTCTTGTTGGCTGTGCCTTTGGAGTTGTTGTTGTTCCGTGTGGAAGGGTTTTTATTTTTCAATGAGGAATTGTTTTTGTTGAGTGATTTGGAGGAAGTTGTTGATGAATTTTGAGCAGTCTCGTCGAAAGTATTGTCTGAATCGCTTTGATTAGCGTAGTGGTTCAGGTTCTCGTTGTCTTCATCTTCTGAGGAATTATTTGCCATCAAGTGCCTGCATTCCTCGCTGGCATCTCCATCGGTTCCCAAGTATCGCTGTTTCAATTTCACCGATAGGTCAGAAACCTTCTTAACGATCGCACTGAGATTTGATTTAATGAATCTTGCACTGAACTTAGAGCCACCTGAACAAATGTCTTCAGAAGTTTTTGAAAGAGATGCTTCCAATTCATCCTTCTCGCCACTGCAAAGAGCATTTAATGCATAACGTGAATTTCCTGCATTTTTGTTGGCGTCATATTTAACATTCGGTCGATCGATCGCCTTAAGACTTTCGGCGTCCACGTTTGAGAAACCGGACGAACTTTCATTCTCGACAACGACCCAGAGTTGTGACGACCCAGCATTCCTTCCCCTGTTCATCACGTCGAACGTCCCAGACTGTTCGATGGCGAACTGGCTTGGTCGGTAGAAAGGATTGCACGAGTCAGCCTTCACAGAGGAAGGTGTTGGACAGGCGGCCACAGCAGTCGAGAAGTGAGTGATGTTGCTGCAACACGTGCAACAAAATCCAATCGTGGTCACTCTTGGGTCACCTGATCGTATGGCTAACGTGATGGACGTGTCTAGGAAGGAGGCCAACACGAAGTTCAGCTGGTAGAAGATGAGGAAAGACGTGAAAGCCACTATCAACGGGTAGAAACATTTCACTTCTATGAACACCTCTAGGGCCAATCTGTCGTTCAAATTAAAATCGTTTAAAAAGGATCGAAAAAATTCATCCTCAAACAAAACCACAGTACAAAGGAAAGTTCACCACATTTAATTTTGAAATGAGACTTTAGAATAAATCTAGAAAAGCAAAACTTGCATACTTGCATCCCGTCTTGTAGAGAGTAATATCGTTGAGGAAGTCGTAGGACGGATGGACATCGTTGTCATGTACATGCCGATTGATGCAGGGTCGCGGAGACATGGGGTCACAGCAACTGAAGGGGGCATCGTCGGCTAGGTACACCCCTGTCTTCAAATGCTCTTTAACTTCGGTTAGTTCCGCATCTACAAATTCATCTGATATCCATGCTACCTGAAATGGAGGTTGTAGTAACTTAAACTCGATTTATTTTAAACACTTAGTGGAAAATTTTCAATGAATTTCATCACTAAGTTACATTGAGAGAAAGAAATTTGCAATCCTTTAAAGTAATGTGGAATAAAAATCAGACTGAAACCTGAAACCAATCGGAGTACTTGTCACTGCCGCAGCAGGAATATTCAATCTGGACCCTGTCTATGGCCTGCTTGTACTCGGGGTTGGATTTGTACAACTTCATCGCCTCTATCATGCCGGCCTAATGGTTGATGAGGAACATCTCATCAAGTGTGTAGGCCACAGTTTAGTAAGGTACTGCTACCCCATGCAACAGCACCAACACACAGTACGTTAGGTAACTTATCAAACTGGACAGTTAGACACAATTTAAAACAAGACAGTAATAAAGAACAGTAATAATAACATCAACATTTGCTACATCACCACAACAAGTCATTCACGCCTAACTCTAAAAGAATCTGCAACAGAATTTCTGTGAATGATGATGAGGGTGATGACGACGACGATGAGAACCGATTGAAAGAACATATATATCCTCAAGACGAAATACGCAACGGCAAATTTTACCCTCTGCCAATTAAAATTTGAGTGATCAATCAATTGGTCAATTAATTAAGATTTTAATTGATGCAAAATATAAATTAACAAATCACCTGGTTAACGACAATGGCACAGAGATAGAAATAGACACAGACGACACTGCCGACGATCAGCGTGCAACCGCAAACCAGCATCAGGATAGATAACTGGTCGAAAAAGTTGTTCTGAAATAATTTCATAAAGTCGGTGATTATCGGTCGGATCTTCAGACCGATTCTACAGAACATGAAACCGACAACGAAGCACAACGCGTTGACACCAATCAGCAGTTTACTAAGGGCCACCCTTGCCCCTTCCGATATTGTGGGGTGGAACATTTTGACTCCTTATAATATTAATAACAATAATCCCACAAGTATGTCTCTACCTAAGCCTAGATTAAACAATCATAAATCTTTAAAATCCGTGTCTGAGTACTTTTAAGTAATCATAAAAACCAAATAAACTTTTGTACGTCTTAAGTACACTATATTACAGATCATAATACGCCACTTTAGCTATTCATTCATCATTTTGTTTATTCATTCATTCAATCATTTATCTATCTATTTATTTTTTTTATTTATTTTATAAAACGTCAGACGCAAAGAATACGAAAATAATAAAATCATAATTGTTATTTTGTAAACGTTAAACACTAATTAATATTATTAACAATTACAAATGACAGAAAAAAATATAACACACGCACACACATACACACGCACGCACACAAACAAACACTCACGATTATGGTTCATATACTTTTTGTTTGTCTTATATTTAAAAAATTAATTAATTAAACTGGAAAAAGGTCAATAAGTAATTACAACGTATACATATATACGTATTTATACATGGATGGATATATATATATATATGTGTGTGTGTGTGTATATATATATATATATATATGTGTGTGTGTGTGTGTGTGTGTGTGTGTGAGTGTATGTGTGTGTATGTACAATGTACATATAAATTTATTAATTAAAAAAGTAATTAATGATTACTGTATTCAAACTATTACAGAGCAACGAGTGTGAAATTGGTCTAACAAAGATAAATAATAACGATAATAATAAATAAACAAACAAACATATAACAACAACAACAATAATAAATAAATAAATAATAAAAAACAATTGTTGTAATAGATAACAAATAATAATTTAGTATTAATATTAATGAAACCCTGTTTAAATATTAATGGAGACGAATATAAATAAATCAAAGGAAAAATGTCATGTGTGTGGTAAAACTTAATAATAATAATAATAATTTCAATAAATAAATAAATTAATTAATTAATTAAAAGATAAGGATAAAATAAAACATCATATTAATCTGTTTAGGTTACTTTGTAACTGCGCATAAAATTTTAAAATTTAACACGGAGTAAAACATTAACAGTAATAACCATAATAATAATAACAACAATAGCAATAATAATAACAATAATAATAATAATAATAACAATTATTATTATTATTACAAAAATTATAGTCATAATATCAAATGAACTCAGCCATTGAAACGCAATAACACGACGAATGAAATTGACGAGAAATTGTTGGTTCCGCAACAAAAAAGCTACATTGTTTCTAGAACATTCCCAACAAAACACCATCCTACAAACCTAAAAACAAACGAATAAATATAAACACACACACACACACACACACACACACAGACAATCACACAGACACATAAACAAAACACACACACACACTCACTCACAGGCACACATGCTTAAACGTCATTATAAATATAAACGAACAAAAATCTCATGGTTACCGCAATGGAATGTGTTTAACTGATTAAACCGGCCACTTGTTTAATCCCATTAATTAACTGTTTAGCATACATGTATATTTATACACACACGCATACTTATACACGTACATAAACACATATTTATTTAAATAAATGAATGTATATCATATATATATATATACATACATACATGAATATATATATAAACATAACGTTAATCATGATGAGTTTTTCCGAAATGTTTTCACTGGTAAGTGAACAACAACAAAAACAACGAAAATTGAATGAACAACAAACAATATATAAACAACAACACATTTTCTACGTGCAAATACTGACAACCACAACCAACCAAACAACACACAAAACAAGCAAACAATCAAAAACATCATAAACAAGCAAACAAACAAACAAGCAAACAAACAAGCCAAAGCAAACAAACATAAATTAAAATCATTAAAGTTAAAAAAGTGATGCTGTCGCACCACTCACACACACACACACACACACACCCACACACACACACACACACAGCTAATGAATGGTGGATTAACGTTTGATGTTTGTTGTGTTTAATGAACTTGTAGAATGTTAAGGTAAAGTAAAATAAACATTGAAGACAGCAAAACGGAAACATGTGCGTGTGCGTGCGTATGTGTATGTGAGTGTGTCCATGTACGTGAGGACGTTTAAATGCTAAAAAATTACAGCATGACTAGAATTTATAAATAAAGTTGATTCCAATAAAATTTCATTCTCTTTCTATTTACAGCCGGAGCAAATGTGCCAAAAATGGAATACACTAAAATACCTCAAAGGTACATACACACATACACATACACACATGAGCAAATACACATACACACGTCTGTAATGAAGCGCATATATAAGTGTACATAGGATTAAATGTGTTGTACAATGCTGTACGTCAAACACGAAATGTGTGTAATGTAGAGATGCACCGAATGGTGATTTTGGCCGAATAGTTGGTCGATCCCCGGTTCGGTCGAAACAGAAGGTCGGATATAAAAAAAACAAGCTACTGAAAAACAGCAGGCCCTTCAGGTCTATACAACAATCCTTTATAGAGATAACATTCAATCTCGTGTTCAATCTCGTGTTCAGATGTTTTAACAGTTAAGTTGGGCAGAGGAAACTTTCGGCTAATAGTAAATAACAATTTATTGACCTGGAATCCAAAAACTGGACTGCTAAACGGGATTGGCACCATTTGTTCTGAACCAATGGCCGAAGTAGGATAGCAGTTTTCGACCAAATACCCGGTGCGCCTAACTCCGATATCATGCGAAAATACATTATCACATACACACGCACGCACACACGCTCGTTACTTCAATTATCTCGAGGATGAAAGGCGAGCACAGCACTAATAAGTATATCGTATTTTACATGAAAACCAAATCATAAATTGACAATGACAGTTACAAAATAAGCTAATAAGTATACATTGAAAAATTAATTGATTAATTAAATAATTAATTAATTAATCATAAATAAACGAACTAAACTGATAGTAGATGAAAATAAAGATTGAAAATAATATCAACATTGACTGCGAGCGCCGGTGCGATTGTTTCAAAAAATACGTCACACATCGTAAATATACAACAATGCTTTTTCTCTCTTCTCACAAACTAGAAAATAAAACACACACGCGTCACACATACACGCACATGCAGTCACACACACGCACAGACACAAACACACAGACAGACACACACACAAACACACACAAGCTGTTGATCATATAATAGTTGGCCAGGAAGCAATATGTGAACACATACGATGTCTGAGATAAATAAATAAATGAAAATAAATAAATAAATGATAATAATATAATATTATTATTATCCACTATTTAATTATTATTTAAAATTATTATTTAATTGTTTAATTATTATTTAAAATTATTAAACTAGACAAATGAAGCTTTCCTCTTTTTATATTTTACACAAAAATATGTATAAAACTTTTTTTATACACAAAATGTTAACACGCACGCACACTTTCACACACACACACACACACACGTACACACACACACACGTACATACATAGACAATAAAGAAAACTAACCAACACACACACACAGACAAACACACATACACAAACAACACGCACACATATAAATCTATATACACGGTATAAACAGACTAGATTGTTGTTTAATTTTGTCTACAGAGTTTTATAAAATAAAAACAGTTTGAAGAAATGAAGAAACAAAACAAAAAATTAAAGACGACTGATGGTGTGACGTAGTAATACAATTATGTGCACGTATCAAATAATACATTAATAATGTGTGTGTATAAAACTCATTGAAAATAAATCTACATCGACACAAACAAACAGAAAACGAACATAGAGACAAGCCGCCGACAGCAATAAACATAGACATCAAAGTGCATCAAAATGTACAAAAGCTGCTAAACGGGCGCTATATGAATGAACAAAGAAAGGATATTTACACGACTTGAATAAATCAATAGATAATTAATTCATGACAAGAATATAAAATAAATAACTAAATAAATTAGTGAATAAATAGTTAAACAGATACACGTCAAATGATTAAACGAATAAATACACAAAACAAAACGAACGCTGAAACTAAAGAGTAACAACACGAACAGAAAGTTACACAAAGTTATAAGAACGTACGAACAATGAGTGATAAAATAAAATAGAATTGCAAATTTTAATACGTAATAATAATAATAAATAATAATAAATAATAATAATAATAATAATAATAAGCAACAGCAACAACATCAATAATAATAAAAAACATACCATAGCAACGGAAATAATATTTGATACATGCAATAATAACAATAAGAGAGCGTCAAACAAACAAACATACATACATACATACATACAAACATGCATACAAACATACAAACAAACGAACAAACAAACATATAAATGAATAATAATTTTGATATACATAATGATGATAACAAAAGGGAAGAAAGAGAGCGTGATGAATAAATTTTTTTTTTTTTGATTTGAAAGTGTTCTATGCCTTTAAAATGAGATCAACATTTATGCCAAGAAATGTCTTTGTGAAGGTAGATAGATAGATACATATATATATATATATATATATTTATATATATATATATATATATATATATATATACATATATATATATATACATAAAATCAGACGAATAAATTTCAATAAATAATTAATTAAGAAATAAAATGCAATCAAATCGGCGGAAAAATAAATTCTAATTCATCCATCAATCCATCCGTCAATCCATCTATCCATTCAATTATTCATTCATCCACTTTATCATTTGCAATCTATCACTGATTTATTCCACAACGTGTTCTCAAATTCATTAAATTATCCACACTCAATTTATACTTTCCAAACTTCCATCCACCCATTAATCATTCGTTTATCCTGTCATTCAATCGCTCCTAATCCACCCAGTGGGTCATTCATTCATTCCTTCTTCACTCATTCATCAATTCGTCCGTCAATCTCTCTCCATCCTCGACAGCTTCCCCGCAACAACTCCCATCTTCAATCTCGTAACCATTGACTATAATCATTTCGTCATCATTATCGACCATCATCATTTCGTGTCCATCATCATCATCACCACCACCAACCTGATCATCATCATCATCATCATCATCATTAATACAATCATTAATATGATCAGTGTTGCCAGCATTCAATTCATCGCCATCATCATCAGCACCACCAGCAACATTCTCATCATCATCATCACCATCACCAACTTCATCGTCATAATAAGTGTGAACATTCTCTTCGACCACACCATGGTCATTAATGGATTCAATATAATTGTACTCATCGTCATCATCATCATCCCCACCGACATAATCGTCATCAGCAACATTGTTCGCATCATCATCATCACCACCACTACCACAATTGTCATCATCGTTATCATCGCCATCATTACCAACACTGCCACCACCTACGTTGTCATCATCCCCGTGCTCGACATTGTTCACAATTTCCTCACTCTCACACACATCATGACCGATGAAGTCGCCACTATCAACATCATTACCATCATCACCGCCAGCATCATCATCACAACCACCACCAACATCATTATCATTCACCATACGATCATCATCGTTGTCATCATCATCGTCATCACGTCCAGCGTTGCTATAACTATCATTATTAAGTTCATCATTGATTAGGTCACTATTAATATTATCATTCAGGCGCCCTAGGGCATCATCATCATCATCATAATCCTCTTCCTCTTCCTCTCCATCATCATCATCTTCAATATTTCGACTAAGATCATCATCACCATCACCATCATTATCATTACTATTATTAATGGTGTTATTGTTGTTATTCTGACTGTTATAATTATTTTCAGACAGGCTTATAAACATATTACCGCAATCATCATCATCATCATCATCTTCGTCGTCATCATCATCATCATCACCAACCTCGTCATCGTCGTTATTATCATTAATGTCATCGCAACCATTGCATATCTTTAGATTATTATCTCCATATAAATCATTCAAATTTTTAACACCATCTTCATCACGATCCTCATCTTCCCCATCGCCAATATCACCATCATTTACGCCATTAACATCATCGCCATCACCACCACCAGCAGCAGCAGCAGTAGAATGTTCCTTATCATTCTGAAGGGCATCGTAACTAGCCACCGGTCTGGCACCATCATCACCATTACTCATTGCATTAACAACATCACCATTAACATTACCAAGATCGTTATCCTTTCCACCACCATGGCGGTCATGATCGTGATCGAGACCATTAGACAGACCCAGACCATTAACTTTAATCCCTCGATCCAGGACTCTATTCAGGGAGTGAGTGTTCTTCAAAAAATTTGTCAGCAGGGCAGCTGACTGGTCGGAGATGTTCATCTGGGCCAGGTGCTTAGCATTCTCTGGTGGGATGATCGGCAGCTGACCAGTCAACGAGTAGATGGCTTGATTGACAGCTGCCGTCTCGACGGACTGCTTGAGAGCAGCTGCTTCATCGTCGGCCAATAGGAGCTTAGTACTGGACCGACCAATCATAACCTCCGTTCCATTTTCAATGTTGTTGCTGTCAGAGTTGGTCAGCTGTTGGACGTGGTCGATGATGTTTCCATTCAGTGGCACGCCGTTGATCGTGTTGTGGAAGAGGGAGAGTGTGAAGTTGGCATCGGTCTGTGACATCGGTGGGCGGCCTCGAGAACGATTCAAAAAGGAACTCGAAACATCCGGACCTGAGTGGGAGAAAAGAATTGAGCCACTAATTCAATGGATAGTAACGAGCAGCGAAAATTGAAACGAACAACAATTAACAAATAAATTAGCAAACAGGCAATGAGACGAACCATCTTTGAACAACTTCTTGAGATCCTTCCTCTTGTTGGCAAACCAGTTGGAGATTGTATGCACGCCCACCCTCTCCTTATCAGACAGCGGCCTGCCAGCTATTCAAGCAGCGTTAAGTGGTTCGTTAATTCAACCATCAGTTTTATATCAGTGATAGGTGTATTGAACATGAAGAAGATAGACAAAGATGCAGTACTAACTGATTCGTTCCGTTGTCAGATTACAAGTCCGAGCTATCTCTTCTCTCCGCCTTAGAGATGGATAATTCTCTTCAGCAAAACATTTATCCAGAAGGTCAAGGTGATTTGGTCTGAAAACAAACCTCTCTCTACGTGGGAAATTAGTTGTACCTTGCTGTGCCCCATTTGTTGTTGCGGTGCTGTAGCTAGCTGGCGTCGTCGTTGTAGTACTGTTATTTGTTGCTGTCATCAATTTTAATGGATCTGATGAGTTGCTGTTGATGTTATTGATGCTATTAGAATCATTTGGCGGCAACGAAAAAAGTTGCTGTTGTTGTAAGTGTTGCTGAACGGTTATTGAAGAGTTGATGTTGTTGACTGCGATGCTGTTGTTGTTGGTTGTTGAGCTGTTAAACATGCTGTTGCCATTGTTTAATGTCTGGAGGATGACATCCTCTGCTGTATGTGAGACCAACAAATGCCAGTGAGAACAACAAAACATCACCCCATGCATAATCAATATGACACCTATCAATACTAAAAATACCATCAAAGAACAATAATAATTTAAAGTAGCACAAAACTCAGACGCTAAACAAGAAACTACAGAACAAAGAACAAAAAAAAAATGATATACATGATATATAATTCTTTCACTAATGACATCAAGAGCAAAAATTAAGAAGTTAGTAGTAGCAACATTAAAAATCTATCTCTCTCTCTCTCTCTCTCTCTCTCTCTCTCTCTTTCAGTCTCTCTTTCTGTCTATCCCTCTTTCTATGCTTTAACATAAAATATGCATCTAACCTATACTATTAGGTGAGCCCTTGTATTTGACATACCACTTTTTGATGGTTCGGCAGCACTTGTCAGACATGCCCATGTATTCGCCCTTCAAGTACCTACTGATGTACGCCTGGCTAATACCTACAAACAAGTATAACAATAAAAATAATAATAATAACAATAATAATGATAATGATAATAATACTGGATTACAAATAGCAATAATAATAAAAACAGCATAGATGATGGAAGAGCGTAGATGGTGGAGCATAAAATAACAATAAAAGAGCGAATAATAATATAAATAGGAATAATAATATTAATCAAAAAATGATAACAAAAACAGCATAGATAATACGGTGTAAAATAATAATAATAATAGGAATAATAATATTAATTAAAAGTAGTAATGACAGCATAGATATAATAGTTTAAATGAAAGGTGGAGGAACCGGTCAACGTAGCAATTTGATGCTGCTTGACATTATTGACGACTGTGAACTCTTTGATCTCCTCACAACATGTCAACTCATCTTTTCTGTATGAAAAATTTAAATAAATGTTAACATCTATGCTAGAAAGATTATGATGATGATGACGACGACGATAATGATTATGATGATGACGACGATAATGATTATGATGATGACGACGATGATAATGATTATGGTGATGATGCATCAATGGTAATAATGATAACAACGAAATGAGCAGTGGTAACGATGACAAAATTAAAATCAGTCTTGCTATGATGGTACCTTCATAGTAACAGATGGGAGAAAAATCATAAATAAAATTATTAAGAAAACACCAAAAGATGCTAATGATGATGACGGTGATGATGAAACAATCGTAATGTTGAAATGGTGATAATGATGCTAATGGGGTTGACGCAGTAGCAGAAACGCACTTGAGGAAATCATCTTCATCCTCTACATGCTCTTCCAGGAGACCACTTTTAAAAATGAATGACGTCCTCTTCTGATAAGCAACATTGCCATTTGTGTTGCTCGGAGGTTTCGGCTGTTTCTCAGCAGTTGTCGTTATCATTTGCTGTGGTTGAATTGCTGGAATGTTGTTGCTACTGCTAGTGTTGTTGTTGTTGTTTGCTACTGCTGCTGCCGACTGAATTTGCTTGAGAATTTGCTGAATAAGCTGTTGTTGCTGTTGCTGGGATTGTTGCTGGTTTTTAGCGAACAGCAGTGAACTAACTGTTGTCGACGTAGCTGGAAACGTTGTCATCGGTTTTGATGTTAATGATGATGTCGTTATTGCTGTAGATGCTAATACACTGTCTTTTTGTTGTTGTTGTTGCTGCTGTGTTGTTGCTGCTGTTGTTGTCTGCTGTGTCATATTTAAAAGTGGAATGTTTAACGGTGTAGGTAAGTTAAGAAGCATCTGTGATGTTGTTGTTGATGTCATTGCTATTGTTGTTGCTGCTGATATAGATGGTGATACAAGCTGGCTTGTTGTTGTTGCTGCTACACTCGTTACAATCATATTTGTCTGCTGAGAAAGAAGAGATGCTAATTTCTGTTTGTCAATGTTAATGTTGAACAACGGTGCTTGAACTGGTGCTGATGTTGTAGATGTTGTTGTGGCTGTCGATAGCTGAAGTTGTTTCTGCTGCTGTAACTGCTGAAGAATAGGTAGTTGCTGCAATAATAAAAGTTGTTGCAACTGCTGTGCAAATGTGCTTTGTTGTTGCTGCTGCTGATGTTGCAAATGTAGCTGTTGTTGCAACATTTGTTGTAACGTTGGTGCAAGCAGTATTGAATTTGGTTGGATTGTGGTATGTTGCTGTTGTGGTTGTATTGTTGGCATCTGTGGAGATACTAGTTGTTGTGGCAGCTGTGACAGCTGCTGTTGTGGTGGTTGTTGTAAAAGTAGAGGTGGTTGTTGTATCTGTGGTTGAGATTGGGATGAGATGTGCTGAAGTTGTTGTAACAAATGCTGAGAGTTGTGTAACTGAACTTGTTGAACCAACTGCTGCTGATTGATTTGTTGAATTGGGTGTTGCAATTGCTGTAGTTGTGGTTGCTGTTGTGGTTGCTGTAGTTGCGGTTGTAATTGTTGTAGAGGCTGTTGTAGTTGTGGTTGTAATTGTGGTTGCTGTTGTAGCAGCTGTGTTGTCTGCTGCTGCAACTGTGGACTAGACAATACTTGTGTAAGTAATGGAACATTTGTTGCTGTTGTTGTTGCCTGTGAAAGTAATGTTGGTATTTGCTTGGGTGGAGTAACTGAGATGGTACTAGAATTTGATGTAGTTGTAGTATTTGTCGCTGTTGATGAAGTATTTTGCAACAAACCCAACTGCTGAAGAAGGTTTTGTAAGGCTTGTTGTTGTGGTGACAATGATGCATGTTGTTGTTGCTGCTGTTGTTGAAGTGGTTGTTGTTGTTGTTGAAGTTGCTGAGGTGTTTGTGGCTGCTGTTGAGATGCGTGTGATTGTTGCTGCAGCTGTAGCAGAGTTTGAAGAGGATGTTGAATTGTTTGCAGTTGGCCTATTTGTGGCAGTTGCTGATTCAATTGTGGTAGTTGTTGACCCAGTTGCTGACCTATTTGTTGTGGTTGCTGACTTAACTGCTGTAGTGTTGAGAGCTGTTTAGCCTTGTGCAACTGCTGTTGAGAACTGTTCAATAGTCCAGCTGAGCTTGTTGTTGGTGAAACAAGAGCTGACGATAAACTCAACTGTGGTATCGAGATGATGGGGGTGAGTAAGGGCGAAGGTAGTTGGGGGATCTTCAAGCCTGACAACAGAGTGGTCTGTAAATTAGTTAATGAACTGATGCCAGTAGCTGGGGGAGGATTAGGTGATAATAATTTGGGACTCAATAAATTGTCAGTAGTTACTGGAGGTACAGTTGTTGTTGTTGTCAGAGTAGTTGTTGCTATCAAAGGTTGCTGAATGAATTATGAAAGTTTATGATTAGCTTGCTCATTTACATATTCAAACAAGCATGAAATCAATTTTATGAACAAAATATGCAGAGTAATGTCAAAATTAGTAACTTATATTTTAACATTTAAAAAAATTACTGAAAAAAAAACACACACCTTCAGATTGTTTATATTGACGAGATTGCCGATGCAGTGGTCAATGAGATCAAAGGAATCGAAGGCCAGAAGGACCTGCTCCTTGGTCATGCCACTGTTCTTCAGTCTCCTGATCAACTCAGCCTGCTCTACTGTGTACAATTTTTTTCCTACGTTTGCTGGTGGGGCAGACATGACGCATCCAGGCATACTTAACCGTCAAATGTAATTTCAATTTTTTTATTAATATGATTGCACATCGAGTTTACGATTGCAGAGCAGCACAGAAAAAAACTATTAAAAAATTAAATTTAATCGACTTGGCGCTCAGGGAGATAAAAATTTAAACTTCGACGACGTTTCTAGAGAAATTTCTGCAAGAATAATACTATTGGATCGTCGAAGACATATTAAAATTGCATGATGACGCCTGGCTTTGTCGTCCGCCTGAATACTAATGAAAGGCGAGAGGCGCTGGAGCTCTACTACTCCACTACCTAGCTGCGTCTGTGGAATAATAATTTATTGATCGACCGATGTTAATTAACCAATATTTTAACATCTAATTTCTTCTAATTTATTGCTTATTTATTAAAATTTGGCCACTAATTCTAATAAGTGACATCTTGAGGTATTAAATTAGAAGCCATGTTTTAAAAATTACGAGAACTTTGAGCGGAATAATCGTATATTTATGGTAATAATAAACAATTGAATGTTCAGCAAAGCGTTGTAGGGATGGACGATAATCGAAATAAAAAATAAACAATGCTTTCCAAACAATGACTTTCTTTTGCGAAATACAAATTTCAAAGTTGAATTTTATTGCCAAAGTATTAATTTTAAATAAAAAAATTTATTAGTTTTAGTTAGTTATGTCAAATCTGAATTCGATTCTTGGCATCCAACTTTAAGCTGCCCCTCGGTTTTAACTTAACGCCTTCATTTAGAACCGAATGGATGAGACGACGAATATTCGACAGACCGGCTCAATATTTGACGAAAATGTTTCGTAGATCGGTCGAATATTCAAGTGATGAACCATAAAGAACAAGTTCATCAAATTGTTCGGGTATATTTCCTTATTGGCTGGTGATTCAGTTGGATCAGGGTCAGATAACGCTGATAGCAGTTTCTTGCTGATTGTGTTGTCAGTTGTGATTTCTGGGTCATGATCAGGTCGGATGTCCCTGTCATACACCTTGCTGGTTTCAGGATCAACTATGCAATCATGGAAGTTGTCGATTTGCTTGCTGCAGTTGAGAACAGTGACAGTGGACGTAAGTGTCTAAGCCGTTAGCAGATGGCAAGTGGTGTCCATTGCACGATCATGTCGTTTGTTCGTTGCAGCGATTGGTAGAAGGGTTGCAGACCCTGTTCGTACATTCTCAACTTTTCAAACCATTAGTAACGCCGCCGTGCAATCAAATGCAATCAACACGGCTTCCTGCTTGCTGCGGTCATTTTCAGAGAGATTTTCCATTCTCTTCCGATCATTTTCACAACTGTCTATCAACCAATCACGATCAAGATGAGCTACCACGTGATTCTTGCTGGTTACCTTCGTTGCCTCAAGGTCATTGAGCTTGGTTGTTGTTGTTGTTGCCGCTCGCTCAAAGGCAAGGTGCATTGTTGCTGGTTGAGGCCTGGTTCTGACTCGGGTTGCATGAACACACCATACTTTCTACACCATCCACCATTGATTTCTTGCACGTGCATGGAAGGTCCTGGCTGCTGGCACGCGGTCTGATCAGCGGCTGCATGTGGGCCGTGCAGACTGCTGTGGAAGTTGCGGAGGATTCAACTCTTGGAGAGACCTGTTTTGTTTGGGAAAAATTAAGAAAAAACTTTTTGATGAACTGTTTGTTTGTCTCTTCAAAATGAATTAAACATATACAATTAATTATTACGATTGATATGGCAAATTTTGTGATAAAAGCAGGTAAACCTGGCAACTGCAGACGGAATTTTCGTTCGTTAGTAAACATTTGTACGTTGTTACGCCATGACGACGCAAATCACGTGACTCCGTGCTGACGGAACACTTGTTAGTGACGATATCACTCGTGAGTTTACATGTGCAGTGCTTGGCCGGCTGCTGCTGTTGCCTGATGTCGCAAATGCACCCGAAGTTATGCGGTGACGATGAAGATTTGACGCAGACGCACGCCGAGTTGTGGTGGGAGCTGCTGAGACTGGCGATGTAGCGACAGCATCTTGCGTGGAGATGGCGAAGAGCTGAATTGCTATGATGATGATGATTGTTGTTGTTGTTGTTGTTGTGATGATGATGGTTGTTGTTGTGGTGATTGCCATTGTTGTGGTTGTGGTGGTTGTTGCAGTCGCGTTCCGTGAAGCCCTGACAGGACACAGCCAGGTTTTGCAAATCGTTGTCGCTATCGTTTGCTCCGACAACATACGTGGTGACATCTCTTCTCGACCTCAGGTGCCCGTTGTACGTGCTGGCGGGCTGCTGTGATCCCATGGAAACATTCAGAATTTTTTAATCGTAATATTCGTTTTTTATTATTTTACAACATATTTTCAAAATAAATTAAAAACTTGTTTCAATTATAACAATAATAACAGCATTAACAACAACAACAACAGCAACCATAAAAGTTATACTAACGTTATGCGTACGATGGTAGATTGATTTATCGTTGCAGGCATGGTGACATGGACTGTGGTAAAGGGCTCTCGCCAGGGCTGCTTCCACCATGCCCTCCTTCATGTTCGAGTTCGGGTGGGGTATGTAGTGGGTCAGTAACCCTCACCTAATAGTTGGGTGTGGTTGCTTGTGGTGGGTCTGATGTCATTGTGGACTATATTTTTGGTAGTTGTTTGTTGGATGTTGTTTGATTTGTCGGTGTTGTTTGTGTGTGTGTTTGTTACATGCTATTTGCTTATTTTAATTCTAACAATACTACTCTTTTCTTTTTTAACAAATGTAAATTAATCAATTAAACTTTTTATCATAAAAAATAATAATAACAGCCAACCAACTGCAGCACTAACTTATCGTAGATGTAAGCATCACCCTGCAGTCCTCCAACTTTCGAGAACAAGTTGGCGCCCCCTTCTGCGTGGAAGATCGGGATTCCGGAGCGCTGTTGATGTCGGTCGTTAGTCAGACCAACGACCAGCACATTGTCGTCTTTGTACTTTTCTTGCAGTTTGTTGAGGCTGAATAATGTTTTTTTATTGTTTGTATTGGCGGAAACATTATTATGGATTCATCACAACAGTATGGAAGTTAGGAACAACGATATTTTTAGTACTAAAATTTGTAATTCCACAATTAAGACAATTACAAAATAAACAATATTACGAATAACAGCAACATAAACAACAAAAATGTCAGTAACCACAACAAAATCTCACAGTTCTATTTGATCCCTGCTGTGACTGCTACCGTCCAATCGTAACAAACTTACAACTGTCACTCTTCCTAAACACGCGATATTATTGGCTGATCCACCACCCGAGGCTTTGCTGCCATCCAATCACAGACCACCGGAAGCCGTGACATCACGCGTCGCTACGCCCAGAAATAAAATGATAGCCAATAGGATCACCCTCGGCCCGAAGGCCCGTTTCTGATTGGTGGAGGTTGAACCCCCCTGGTAACACAATTAAAATAACATTCATAAAAATATCTTTGTTACGACGAAATGAACAAACGCGATGAATAAAGATAACAGCAACAGCGCTAACTTCAATAAAAACAACCAGAGAGCAACAAAATATCATTCAACTAACTCTCTTTATCTGGTTCAGATTTATCTGAAAAAGTAAAAAAAAATAAAAAAATAACACTCGGAGTTTCTATTTTCTGCTTAGCTAAAAACATTTTGTTTCTTCGCTTTATATACTAATTCAACAGCAAGGAAGAGATGCTGATAGCAAAAGGGAGAGAAACAAAATATGAATAATAATAAATAATAATAATTACGATAATAATAAATAATAATAATAATAAATCATCAGAAGCTACATATATAGAAGCGTTAAACATGAATAAACATGAAAAAGAAAGATGGTGAGAAAAGTGGGAGAGTGCCAATTGCCATTTATAATATTGTATATAATAAATAAGTTTATGTATAATGTATATAATATTAAATAAAACCTAATTAATTATGCATTAGTGAATAAATTATGCAAATGAGTAACAAGCAATAAACGAACAGCCACTGCGTAATTCTGAACTTGGCATCAGTTACAACGCAGTAGCAGACCGGTTGTCGAGGTTTTTTTTATTTTTTTTTCTATTTTCAGTTAAATCACGTGATCTGCGACATGTAAACAAATTTTGTTCTAGTAGCAGTAGCAATTGAAATAAAAAAATTTCTAAGAGTAATGAAATAACAATATGAGCTAAAGCGAAAGCTATTTGTTATGTGTTTGTTTACTTACATACACTTTAATGTACCATATTTTGGTGGTCCCATTTTATGTAATTGTAGTTCTCATTTTTTTGAATGTATTTTGAATAAAATACACAAAACACCCAAAATGTTTATTTAAAACAAGGTATTGTATATGAAATACAACGTGTTGTATTTCAAATGCAAAGCGTTGTTGAATTTGTGTAAGTACGAATCGAGGCATCTATCACGTGTTGTAAAGCGAAGAGTGTATGCAGTATTAAACGTTGTCATTGGTATTGTTTACATTGTAAATCTTAATTATTTACTGCTGAAATCAGATGACTGTGTGTGTGTGTGGTGTGTGTGTGTGTGGTGTGTGTGTGTGCAAATGTTTGCGTGAATGCGTCTGCGTGTGTTGTGTGCGATTGCATGCACACGTGTACGTATACGTGTGATTGTGTTTTTTTTTTATGTGCATGTATGTCTGTGTATTCTATGAATGTGCGTGTGCTTGTGTGCGTGTGTACTGCTACAACACTATGCGATACGTGATGCGAATATGAAACTAAATCATGGACAAAAAATGTACAAGTTCAAAAATTAGCTCCAATGAAAATTTTTAATCTTTTAATCTGAAACATGACTCTAAACTTATTTTAAAACAATGCCTTCTCTTATCTTCCAACTGATACAACGCGATATTTAGAATTTGCATTTACGTCAAGATTATGATTCAACTTTGTTATATTTTATCATCAATATTTTTTTTATTAATTTTTAATTATTTCATTAAATCAAAGAAAAAAAAATCTTAACGGTTTAGCTTCGGAAAAATTTGACTCTGTCATTATTTGAAATTGGACACCGCATGGTAACGTTGGGTGCAAGTTGATGCATGTAAACTTCAAATATATAGACTTGAGGTGAGCGGGAATTCTCATTCCAGATTTTCTCCCGAATTCCCATTTATGACAACCTTCCCGAAAATCCCCATTCCCTATTTTTTCAACTCTTTCCCGCGTTTTTCCACCCCCCATTCCCTCCAGATTCCGATTCTCCCATAGAGTTATATAGAGTTATATATGGTTATATAAGATAGAATATAGTTATATAAATATAGTTATATAGAGTTATAGAGTTATATAGAGTTATAAAAGGTTATATAGAGTTATATAGGATTATATCGAGTTACATAGAGTTTTATAGGGTTATATAAGGTTGTACAAAGTTATATAGAGTTATATAAGGTTATATACAGTCTTCCAGAGTTATATGAGGTTATATAGAGTTATATATAGTTGTATATGGAATTATCGCGTATGTGTGTGCCCATGTGTATAAGTCGATCACATGTGTACCAGTATACATATATATATATATATATATATATATATATATATATATATATATATATATATATATATATATATATATATATATATATATATGCTTTTATTTCGCACGCAGATGTCATTTTTCCCATTTTTTTCTATTTCCGTCCATCATTTCCGATTTCCAAACGGCGATTCCTTATTTTCTAAAATTTACATTCCCGAAAATTATGTTTCACCAATTCCCATGGAAACCATGGGATTCTCGCAATCCCCGTTCTCATGCTCACCTCTAATACACACTACACACACACATACATACATACATACACATACACACATACATACACATACACACAAACATACATGCACATACACACACACACACACACACACACACACACACACACACACACACACACACACACACACATACACACACACATATAATAAGTATTCTAAGTGATAACTGTTTTTATTTCTATTTCAGGTATTCATTTATTTGCTTATCTATGGCCTGATATAATTGGATTCATAGTTCAATAACTTCGACAACAAAAAAATGGCGGTAACATAGACAATTAAAAAAACACTAAAACTATTAAGGTAACATTTTGCAAACACATAATATGCCCAACGACGAACCCAGAATAAACAATAATAACATAACACAGTTTAAAATCGTCAACAAATACACACAAACATAAGCAAGCATACACAAGCATACAAAAACTACACCAACCAAAATAGAAAAAGTCCTCAGTAACAAAGTTCATAGTTAGTTCAACAACACCATCATTATGTAAATATCATCGACATTCTCGTACTTTACACTTAATCACATGTTATGGGATGAGTAAATTATCGCGAGTGTTGTTAGTATGTAGCAGCATTACTACTAAAATACACACTTAGTAATTTATTACTTAGTAATACAGCTATGTACATACTTTTACTTAGCTGGTTTTAATTGTTTAATGTTTAAGTAATTATTGTTTTCATTAATTCAATAAGTAATTTCTGGTTCTCCATAAAGTCAATTTTCATTTTTCACTTTTTATAAACTTTCATTTCAATAATAATTTTCATAAATTAATGTTATACTGCGACTTGATTGACGAGTTTTTTTGCATTGTTTCACGCATTCATCTTGATTCGTCAGGCACACAAAATACAATTCTATGAACGACATTTCTCATGGTTTTATAACCTGTCAAGATATAAAAAACAGTGAAGATTCTATTAAAAACATCTTACCAAGTTTGGGATCATCAATTTTTAGAAAATAATTTCTGCTGCGTTTTTCTTACCATAAAATGACCAGCTACACCTATGTTACATCTACGTGATACTCATGGACAGAGTTGGACAACTTTGACCGGAGATGGCCAAGATTGACGGATAAGGGTTAAAAATTCGCCACTGGTCTTCTACATGGAACTAAATGGATCCACATCATCATCGCTGCTGTAACATAACTTTCGATTTCGAGTCTCTATAAAAAACAAAACAAAACAAGAAATACAAAACATTTTTTTAAACCAAACTATTTTCAGATAGATAGCCAAATGTATATCCTGTAACAAAAACCTAACGAAATGTGTGTGTATGTATGCACTTATATATCTATCTATTATATCTATATGTATCCTTAGATTAAGACTGTCAGAAATGCAATTTCTTGTATAATTTTTCAATTTTTCTAATGATAGATCGTAAATCATTATCAAGTTTCTTGAGAATGATTTACAAACTGCCATTGTCAAGTTTCTCGATCTACCGTTAGAAAAATCGTAAAGTTAACTAATGCTGTGACATTCATCAATAATTGCATATATTTATATATATATATCCATACATATATGTGTGTGTATTTCATTATACACACATATGTGTATTTTATACAAGATTTACATGTACATAAATATATATTATATAGTAATATACACATACACACATATAAATATATATGTTTTTATAAAAATTGAAAACAGCACCGCCCAAGATAGCACAACAACAATACAACAGTACTTATGTAACTTTGTACTAAAACCGTCACACGGACAGACAAACACATACAAACACACAAAAGTACAGTTAAATTAAACAGTATGTATACATGTCTGATGCCATTTTGCGAAGTTTAATTTAGTTTCTCAACAAATTTGTATCAAAATATGAAAAAATAAATTAAAAAAAGCTAAATACAAAGTAACAGTTTTCTTTTAAGTTTGAATATACACAGATAAAACTTACAATGTACGGATATATAAGTGATATATGTGCGTGTGTATATATTGTGTATATGTGTGTGCATGTATGTGTGTACATGTGTGTGTACATGTTTGTGTGTGTATACATATTTTAGTTGTTTTTTAACCAATGAAAACGATTTTGAAATTTCAGTTGAAAATGAAATAAACCGACACAAAAAAATAACAAGAAGAATGAAATAAAATAAATTGCACGAAATAAAATGAAATAAAACTCGCAGTAGATTATGCATACACACACACACACACACACACACACACACGCACATACACACACACACATTTATACATAAACACGCGTTTTATACAGTGAAATACACACACATACATTCAAAAACACATATTTATATACATATAACATAGCATTCATAATTGTGATAATAATGACGACGACGATGATGATGGTGAGGATGGGATATTTATTGATTACATTTATTACAATAATGTTGAAAAATTGTGAAATTAATTTCATAAATTTATTTTATTCCCTTGGAGCAGAGGTGGGCAAACTTTCGTTGTAAGTGCCGCACCGAGAACTATTTGACATTTGAAGGGACGCACATGTCCTTAAATAGCAAATTTTTCGACCCGGGAAAGAATTTTTTTAAGATTTGTAGTTCTCTTTTTTGGCCATAATGTCTGGCTCAAACGAACGAACAAATGAATGAATGACTGAATGAATGAGGAAATGAATGAATGAGTGAATGAATGAATGAATTAGTTCATTAATTGGGGTACAGGCGGAAAGCATGGTTTTGCCAAAAACGCCGAAAAATTCTCCAATCTACAATCATCATCGTCAATATTATCATAACTATTATCATTATATTTGTTGTTGATATTGTTGCTGTTGTAATTGCTGTTGAATTTTGTTTCGTTTCGTTTCGTTTCGCTGATGTTGTTGGTGTCCTGGATGACGTCAGGTTCTTCTACAAGTACACCGCTGTCTCGTTTCGTTTTGTCAGAGCATTCCTCGATTAGTGTCTTCAACTGCCTTAAATCGTTTAGCTGGTTTGGTGTTGTTGAATTGTGTTAATTTGTTGTTGTTGTTTTTGATGTCTAAGTTGGTGTTGATGTTGCTGTTGTGCTAGTGTTTCAACGTAAGTGTTGTTGTTGTTGTTGTTGTTGTTGTTAATATTGTTACGTAAAGTTAATATGATAATAAGTTGCTTGATAATTTAATTTATTTCTGAATTTAAATTTAATTTTCTTAAATTACTCTTAAAAAAAATCGAAAAATGTATGAACTTGTTGAGGAGAGCACGAGTACCCTGGCGGTTGCAAAATATTTTTCCCACCAAGCAGTGAACTCTGCTCATTGTTGATGGCAATGTTGTTGTTGTTGTTTAGACTGTGTTTACTTTTCAATGAATTACTATCTTCAATCGGATAGTAGGTGTTGTTGTTGTGGCTGTTGTAGTTGCGACTGGCACCACCAATCGATGAAGAGGTCGATGAAGATGTCGGCAGTGACCTGATTGAGTCGATTATGATTGGTGGAGACGTGTTCACTGACCTACATTGGAATGTCGGATGGTTGGTATCGCATTTTGAATTAAAATCTTTGTGCTTTGATGTTTGTTTGGTGCTGCTTTTTATTCTAGTTCATGTTTTTTGAAATTAAAAAAAAATCTTTATAACATGCACAAAACACATAATGAACATACATACCAAACCAAATAAAACACACATTCACACACACGTACAAACATACACACACACACATATATATATATATATACAAACACACACAAATAAAAATTCAAATACGAAATTAAAACGCTTAATTTATCTACTACTAACACATACACTTACACATACACTAACACGCACGCACATACACACAGACATGCACGTTTTTACGTCACATGACGTCACAATGCAACATGAGATCACGTGATGTATTGCTTTGCACTCCGGCTCATCTTCATTTCTCTCTCTCTCTCTCTCTCTCTCTCTCTCTCTCTCTCTCTCTCTCTCTCTCTCTCTATCTATCTCCAAATCAACATCCATTTCCATAACTAATGGTAATGATGACGGCTAACTTTTACATGCACACACACACACACACACACACACACACACACACACACACACACACACACACACACACACACACACACACACACATGCATACTCACACAAAAACACACAATGGCACACACACACACGTACCTGTACACACACGTGTACACCCGTACACACACGTGTACACATACATACATACACGCACTCGCATGGGAAAGAAGGTAAAGAAACAAAAAAATAAAAAAAATTGTTAATATGATTCTTTGCATATTTGAAACATCGATCAACTCAATAATTATTATTATTTATCAATGAATCAGTTAAAAATTGTTTTGATCATTTACTTGATAATTTAACGTTTAAACCAACCGACCAACTGACCAGCCAACCGATCAACCAACCAACGAACCAATCAAACAATCCATCAATCAAATTATCAATCAAACGCAACCAAAAAAATTGGCACTCCAACCTATCAACATTGTTGAAGTGATGTGGCATCTTATTGGTCTGCAACAACAAATGTTTAAATGGAGAAGCCGATGATAAGTCTGGACTGTTGTTGTTGTTGTTGTTGTATACGGAAAACCCGGAGAGCTTGTTGCTGAGGCTGTTGTTATTGCTACTACTACCAAAATTGCTGTGGCTGTTGAAGTTGTTGTTGCTGCTGCCAAAATTGTTGTTGTTTGTTGACGAGGCCCTATAAGGGTCGCACGTGTAGGGTAGAGGAAGGTCGAGGTCTGAAAAGTTGATTTGGTATGGGTAAACGTTTTAAACAAGTTTGTTTGTTTGTATGTGCATAAGTATGTGCATGTGTGTATTTATATCTGTATGTACAGTTGTGTACGTGCGTGTGTATGTGGTGTGTGCGTGTGTGTGATATGTGTGTGACAATTTGTGAACGTTGTATGCTGCTTCAGATTACCTGGTTATACAGTGTTAATACGATGACGTACAAATGTTTCAATTTGTTGGCTTGTAATATCGACGATCTATCTTTCGATTGAATGCGTTACTACACTGCAACACTGTTAGGCGCTGCCAATAAAACATGATGCTGTTCTTTAAAAGCAGGATTGTGTGACTAGATTGTGTGAGAACAATTTTTTGATTGTTTTGATTTCTGCCCTGACGAATGTCTTTGCACTTTTTGATCAACAAAAACCAACAATTTGAACAAGAAAATTGCTTAAACTACAAAACTACTACTACTACTACTACTACTACTACTACTACTACTACTACTACTACTACTACTACTACTACTACTACTACTACTACTATTACTATTAACTATTACTACTACTACTGCTACTACCACTACTTCAACTACCACTACTACTACTACAACGACGGTTACATCTACAACTACTAAAAATAATTAGCTTCAAACTGTAGTAGCGGTAGTAGTGAAGAATGAAGGATGGTGTTCTTACAACCATCCAACCAACCAGCAACAAAATTGAAAGAATTGATAAATTGCCTCTAAGTATTTGGCGCGGCTGTTTTTGCATTGTTTTGTTTCTGTTGTATTTGTATTGTATTGTGTGGTATTCGTAAGGTATTTGTATAATATATATATATATATATATACATGTGTGTAGTACATTTTGTATTTGTATGGTATTTGTATTGCACTGTGTGGTATTCGCAAGGTATTTGTATAATATTTATATATAAGTGTGTGTTTGTAATACAAATGTATACAAACTAATACAAAACATACAAACAGATGAATACAAACTAATACAAAACATACAAGCAGATGAATACAAACTAATACAAAAAAACATACAAAAACCGTTACTACCTTGTTGCTGCTGCTGCCATGTATTGTTGATGTTTTGTTGCATTGTGGCGATGAGTGAGTCCAAGTCGACAACGGTTGACCTCGAGGTACTTGGTGACCACCTACAGCCACAGTGCAAGTGGCCATCGTCTCCAATGTTGTTGTTGTTGTTGCACGAGTGCTGTCTGTTACATTGGTTGTTGTTGTTTTGGTTTTTTAGTTGTTGATGGTTTTGTTTGTATCATGTTTTTTTTTTTTTTTGTTAACTGTAGCTTTTTTTTTTGTTTTTTTTTTTTGTTTTGTTGAAGGCTTTTTCCGCCTATCCGGGTGAAGGTGCTTTTTGCTTCACCGTTAAAAGGGAAAGCTTTTTGTTGGTTGGTTGATTTGTTGGTTGATTGGCTGGTTGGTTGATTAGTTTGCCGGTTGGTTGAATAGTTTGAATGTTGGTTGATTTGTTGGTTGGTTGGCTGGGTCGGTTGTTTAGTTGTTTGATTGAATGATAGATTGGTTAGTTGATTTGTTGGTTGGTGAAATTGTTTGTGACTGACCGACTGAGTTTTTGATTGATTAGTAGTTCAATTGACCTTTGAAACATTGGGTGAAGCAAAATTATTATAACCACACATACACTTTCACACACATACACACATACACACACACACACACACATTCACATATATGAGGAAAAAATGTTTATGTGTTTATTGATCAATCATCTACTGCGAAAGCAAACGTTATACAGACCGTTATATATAAATCTACTTCTGGTTAATATCTCCTGTACGTACACGCGTATGTGTGTGTGTGTGTGTGTGTGTATGTGTGTGTGTGTGTGTGTGTATGTGTGTGTGTGTATGTGTGTGTATGCGTGTATGTATGTCTGTTTACAAAAAAAGCTTACATGAAACAAATATAACTATATTAAAAATATTTATAGCATGTATAGCAAATGTACTCAGAGCACCGTGTATATTATTATTATTACTATTATTACTATTATCGTTATTATTATTATTATTTTTACTATTAATAATAATATTATTATTATTGTTCTAACATCCTCATATGAAACGTCATCGTTAGTGGCGTCCTAGCGTCACAAGTTTATGTCGAGATTGAAAATGACGTCATCATCATCATCATCATCATCATCAGTATCTTCCTCTCTTCCTCTTCTTTTTCTTCATCATCATAACCATCATCACCACCATCATCATCATCATCACTATTACCAGGTACACAAGGTAGTACTTTGGCTGACTGTATTTTAAGATAAATACACAAAACTTTGATACGTACGTGTATATATATATACCTGAATACAAATACACATGTATGTGCGTATGTATGTTTCTATGTCTGTTTTTATGTATATGTGTATGTTTATATGTGTGTATGTGTGGACAGGGAAATCCTTAAGTGTGCATATTTGTATAGCAAACTGCACGTATGTCTTCGTTGTATAATTCAGTATTATTATGTGTACACTCGCATAGACATTTGAATGTACAGACCTGCGTACATATGCATACACGTTCATACGCACACATACAGACAAACAGTCAGACATATAGACAGACACAGAAGCAGACCTACACACACATACGTTTGTATATTTTGGTAGAGTTTTTTTTTATATTTGCACGCCATTGAACTCTGACTTGTCTTCCCGTTTTTCAGTTTTGAGTACACACGTTTTGCGTGGATGTGTGCGTGTGTGTGTGTGTTAGTTTGTGTTAGTGTGTGTGTGTGTTTGTGTGTGTGCACGTGCGTGTGTGCGTGTGAGTGACCATGTGTGTGTGTGTGTGTGTGTGTGTGCGTGTGTGTGTGTGTTAGTTTGTGTTAGTGTGTGTGTGTAAGTGACCATGTGTGTGTGTGTATGTGATTGTGATAATAATAGCAAAAATAATAACAATAATAATGTCATCAACAATTGATACTGACACATACAAAATGATACAAGATACATTAATATGATACCTCAAAAAATGCTGCCACATAAAAGCTGATACCCTGGCAAAGTATAATACCGAACAGAAATTGATACAAATACCGAGAGGTATGGGGCGGGCTGGAGAAGAAGCGAATGAAGATGGGATAGTTTTGAAATAACGGAACATGCATTAGTAATCGTAACACCTGTTGTTAAATTATCATCAATTGTGTGTGCGTGTATGTGTGCATTATTGTGTATGTGTGTTTGTATGTACGTGTGTATTTCTGTACAAGTATATGTTTGTTTTTGTACGTGAGTGTGTGTTTGTGTGTGTTATTTTGTATGAAAAACGCTATAACCGTGTGTGTGTTCTTATTTAAGTGAATTTTTTAGTACATGCCATGGTAGTTTGTACGTGTAATTATTATTATTATTATTATTATTATTATTATTTATTATTCTTTATTATCATTTGTTCTTTTAGTTTTTCAATATGTGGAAGATCTGAAATCAGGCACGATGATGACATACCGATATGTAATCTCCTAGTTGACCAGCCAGAGTTAAGGCCAGAAAGCACTTGAACCGCGAAACTAAATCTGATTACTTAATCAATTTTACACTACCAATACACACACACAAACACACACACATACACAAGCACACATATACAAACACACACAAACATAAAAAGCAAAATTTAATAACATAACAAACACACGAATGTATAAACAAACAAAGAAAAAATTAATTCAATAAATAGCGATCTGATTACTGTATTTGTTCAAGATTTTGTGTCGGTGTTTTTGTTGGCGTGTGTGTGTTTGTCTGTTTGTCCTTGTGTGTGTATGTGTGCATGTGTTTAAATTTGTGTGTCGGTGAGTTACTATTGTTGCACGAGTTTGTTAAATGGCGTTACTTTCATTTTGGGCTGCTGCTGTGTTGTTGTTGTTTTGTTACAGTTACTACGTTACAGCCGCACATCAATTTGGTGTATGTTGTTGCCACACACCTTTCTGGCGCGTGTTGTTGTTGTTTGTTTTTAAAATTCAATTATAACGTTACGTTTTATAACATGTGTTGTGTCAATCGAAAGACAAGCGCGAGCCTTTGGGTAAGTGTGCGTGTGTGTGTGTGTAATTGGTGTTTGTGTGGTGAGTATTTATGTATTGCACTTGTAATAAATTTTTTCTACAAATTTAAACATTCATCAATCTATCTATTGATGAAACTGTCGACGAATTCGCTGGTCAAGTTTGTTTTTCAATATATTTTTTGTATCGGTTCGTTTTTAATTTATTTTTCGTTTGATTTTTATTTTTTACGTTCATGCGTTTGTTTGTACATTCATTCGTTCGTTCGTTTGTTTGTTCGTTCATTTATTTATCTATTCATTCATTCAAGCAATCATTTCTTCCTCAATCCATCCATTCATCCAATTTATTTTTTGTCGGATACTGACAAACCACCAAACAACTGGCGCTGAAATACAGTTCCATCACTATCATCACTGACATCATCATCATCATCATCATCGTCGTCGTCGTCGTCCTCTTCATCATCATTATCATCCCATCACCATATTCATTATCATCATCGTTATCAACATCGTCGTCGTCATCATCGTCTTCCTAACTATCATTATCATAACTTTTATCAACATCATCGTCGTCATCATTAAAAAAGTTATGAGATTGTTGTCAACAGAAAAAGTTTCAACGTCAATCATTTTTCTACATTCTTTTAAAAACCAAAAAAGAACTATTTAAAAAAATAATATAAAAATAAAACTAAATAAAAAATATAACTAAAATAAACAACAACAATAATAATAATAATATCAATAATCATTTTATTTCTATTTCTCCTATATCATCATCTTCCTCTTCATCACCAACCATCATCAACAATCGTATATCATCATTATCTTTTTCATCATCTTCCTCCATCGTATATCATTTTCTTCTTCATCATCATCATCCATCGTATATCATTATCCTCTTCCTCTTCTTCACTATCACCATCTTATATTTTTATCATCACATAACAACTCTGTCATCACACTCACCATCAAAGATGATACATTTGATATCTACTGCTGTACTGCTGACAGACGTCCAATATACAATGACAATCTCTCTGTTTCTCTCTCTCTTTCTTTCTCTTTTTCTCTATTTCTCTCTCTCTCTTTCTTTCTTTTTCTTTTATTTCCTTTATTTTTCTTTCTCCTTCTCCATCCCATACTCGCACTTTCTTCTACTTCAATTTTTTCTTTATTTCTCACTCTACCAATGTTTTTCTTTGTTTCACTATTTATCTCTTACTCTCTATACGTATACTTACATACACAAACACACACGTTTGAGAGCTCGCACGTACAAACACACGTACAAACACACGCACACACAAAATCACGCACACACGCACGCACGCAGACAAACACCCAAAAGCTGGTAAATATTTATTTCATAGTAATCCCACTCAAAATTTCACACAATTCACTTTTT